CACACACACACACACTCTCTGCCAACTGGACCTAGTCTCGTCTAGACTGTTTCACCGTTTGGCTCTAATTTGCATCAATTTAAAAAGGAGAAGCCCCAAAAGGTGACGTTTTTTCATTTAAAACACACATGATCGAAATCAGGTTAAAAGGTGGCGACAGTTGGTCAGCTGGTTGCAGCGGTTACCATTTGGCAGGGATGTTCACTTCCTGTCTGGCGAAGCATCCGAAGCGGTGGTCCGTGAGGAAGGCCGAGCCGTTCTTCTGGACGAAGCCCTCGATGGCCTGACCCCACCAGCGGGCGTGTCGGTAGCTGCTGCACTTCAGCACCAATGACCTGTACACACCCACACACACACACACACAGAAACCTTTTAATTCAGTTTACTTTAATAGAGTAAAATCAACGTGTGTGCATCAGTTGTTGGTCAATATAATCTTAAATGTCTAATCTGATTAATATATTTTACAGTTTACAGGAAACTAAACTCGCAGTTACTCACTATAACTCCCTGGGAAGTAATAATACTTAATAAACAGAAGTTCTCTGTTATTTTCTTCTGTTGAATAATAATTGTGTTTAAAAAGGATGAAAACAATCTGCTTACAGCAAATCAAAATGTTATTTCATCCCTAAAATGTCCTTAAATGCTCTGGTTTTGGGGTTCGTTTCATGGGTTTGTAAGAGATTTAGTTTACAGTGCCATCAGCGGTGTGTTAATGTGAGAAGATGTGACATTCTGCGTGACCACTGAAAATGCTCGGTCTGTTTTTTGTAAAGTAAATTAAAGTTTAAGAAAAAATAACTCTGAGCGAGGCTTCATAATAATCACTTAGACTGAGAAATTATGGCTCTAAATGTAAGAAAATGTATGGAGTTTTGGCGTCAGTGTTAAGGTAAATGTAAAGTTGTTTTAAAGAATCTGTGGTTTGTAAAGAGTCTTACAAAGCTTTTAGGTGAGTTATATAAACTATTAATTCATATTTTGTTAGTTGTAGTTAGTTAGTTGTTTTGTTTTAGTTTTAAAAGGTAAAATTACTAGTTTTTTTTCCAATGGAGTCTGGTCAGTCAGTGTCTATTGGTCTGATCTGAGATCTACATCAACAGCAAGTTAATTTTAGATATATAACCTTAAAGTAACGGCTTTATATCTATATAAAAGTGTCACACACCTGGACAGACTGTCGATTCGGACGCCATGTTTGGTCTCTGTGTCTTTGGAGTCCATCTTGATGCCGAACTCTTTGTCAACCAGCATCACAAAAGAGATGGCCCCCGAGTCCGGCTTCATGTAGAGCAGGAACGAGTCCTTCACCACCAGCCAGCTGCGGACAAACACAAACACAAACACAGTCAGGAGACCGCAACGCAGGCTGCAACCAACATCAAACATCAAATGGATGACTACATGTAGATTTCAGTACAAAATGATGGCCAGAATGTTCTTGTGTCGGCGTCCACTGACCGTTTGGACCAGTGGTAGCACATTTTGCTGCGACCACAGCAGTTCAACCCGGGGATCCGATGGCCACCGGAGCGCTTCAGCACCATTCCTTCTCTGAAAGACAAGAAAAGCTGCTGTTCCTGCCAAAATAATGCTGTACATCTGTACAAAATCTGGTCTATTGTGCTTAATAATTAATAAAAATCAACCTTCCACACTTTTAAATGAAAGAAATGTGCTTTCTCTTCTCGAAACCATTGACATTAAACTGGTATTAAGTGGAATTTTCTCTTAAAAAACTTTTTTATGGTTAAATGTCATATTTAAAAACCAAAAGATACTAAATGATATTTGGACAGAAAGTTGCTCTTACAAGCCTTTTGGTCCCAGATCGTGGATGAAGGACAGCTGGCTAACATCAATGAACTCCATCTGAAAGAGAGACATAAAACTGAAACCAGCAACTTTAAACTGCCTGTTTGTTGCACATTCAGATCTTTTCCAGGACTTTATTGTCATTTTGTCATTTTCCAGGCTTTAAAAGGTTTTCCAACACATGTGGTAACCTTTCTGACTCCTTACCGTTGCGTGGTAGTTCCTGTACATCGGCATCTTTAGCAGGTTATTCAAGTAATCTTCCAGTTGTTTCTGGAACAAACGCACATCAGAGAAATATCAGCAACAATAACAAAATATCAACAAGTATGAGAACAAGAGAGATGTTGGTGAAGTAAAGCTGCGTACCCTTCGACTGGAAACTTGCTCCTCTCTGCCCAGCTCTTCTCCTCCTGATCTGGGGAGGTTCGGTATCTGCCTCGCCTCGCTCCTCGTCGCCGTCTGCCTCTTCACCGTGTGACTGCAGAGAGAAATAACAACAACAGTTCAGAGGTTGTTGGCTTGAAAGACTAAATCAGGGTTCCCACTGTTTGACACAATTAACCCCGCACCTATCCTATACAGGTAGCTGGCCAGCGTTTATGGAGGAGGAATTCCAGGATATTCGGTCATTTTCATCAATTCCCAGGTGTTGATGATAGGAAAGGAAGGTTTAAGTAATGGAGGCAACAAGAAAGCACTGTATGCTTTAGACAAAGTGAGACCTGCTCGTCTGATGTGTTAGAAGTTCATCCAGACACCTGTTTACATCGTCCCTAATCTAAGCTTCTGAGGCTTTAGATAAACCCAAACAGAAGCCAGTCCAGAACAAGAAATGCAAAGTTCACCTGCGTGTCGGCAGCGGCAGCCTCATGAAGGTCTTGTAGGTCCTCAGCTCTCTGTGGAGATCCATGAAGTGTTTCTCCTTCCTCTTCACCAGCCAGGTAAACTCCCCGTGCTTCAACTCGATCTTAAACACCGCCGGCATCGACTGAGCACACAGGACAGACACTTAAGTTACATACTGACATTTAATCGTCGCCTAAGACAAATAATAATCGAAACATCAGGCAGGAACGTGCCGTCTATGCGCACCTTATTGACGCTCCTCTGCGAAGTAACATTGAAGCGGTCCTGAGCCGAGGTGAACCGCTCCACCTCCAGGATCTTGGCGGTGATCGGAGAGGACAGGAAGACTTTGGCCGTAGGCTCCTTGAAACCCACCGTGTTGTAGATCGCCGTGAAAGACAAACGCTCCGCTGCAGACGAACACCAGCAGAAATACACACATATCAGATAATTGTGGTGATGGAAGATGAACGCCACACTGACCACGTGTACACACCTGGGACGTTGGCGTCGGTTGTGTCGTACTCTCCATCTTCCAGGTGGAGCTCGCGGGTGTCTAGTTTCTCCATGATTCCGGTCATATCGTTGGCAACCAGCTGCAGGGTGCTGGAGGTCGGCTCGGACTGCCGCAACATGGCTAGCACTTAGTCTGGAGCCCGGGGCTCACCTGGAGAGACAGGTAGGGAAGAGAGGGAGGTGTTGAACCAAAAAATAAGGGTTTAACTTGAATCACGTTAACTTTCCAGACTCAGACCTGTGGAGAGCAACAGTCCCACTCTGATCTACTCACAACTGATAACCTTTTACCCGCCAATCTAACTGAGATCTGGAGATGAGACCAAGCGTATAGTGAGTATAGTGAGTATATGTAGGATCTAAGGAAGTGTGGAATCCAACCTGGAGGTTAAATCTGAAGCAGCATTTCGAGTGAATGTGTAACTGTTAACTGGGATTGTTGCCATCATAAATATATTAATGTTATAGAGAAACACTTATTTTCAGGTACTTTAAGATAGAAATTTTTAAATATTTTGGGGCCAGAGTCTTCAAAAAGATATTTAGATATTTGATTTATTAATAATACAAACAGTTTTGTGGCTTTTTCTTACCCAACAATATTACCACACTGTAAAAATACTCCAAGTAACAGTCCTGCACTAAACTAAAGTGACTGTTGTACTGTTATATATGATATCATTAGATTATTGTGACTTGTGCATTAATGTAAAAGCAGGATTTTACTGTTGTAGCTGGTTGAGCTCATTTTGAACTATTTTGTATCAGACTGCAACTGATGATTATTTTCATTATGGATCAATCTGCTGATCATTTTCTCCATTAATTGATTGAAGAATTCGGAAAATAGTGAGAAATATTGTCACAGTTAACCAAAGTGACACCTTCACAATGCTTGTTTGTGTCCAACCAACAGTCCAAACCTCAAAATATATTACACATACATTCAAATGTTTTAAATAATTAAAAGGAAAAGCAGCAAATCTGGAAACACAAAATGTTTTTAGATGGAAAATGACAAATGATTATCAGAATAGTCAATTAATATTCTGTTTAATTAATTGTTTTAGCTGTACTATAAACTGCTTGGTAGTTTAATTTATAACAAAGCATCAGATTTTAGAAACTTTCTGTATGTTTTGTATGTGGAAATCTTAATTTGTAAAGTAACTAAAGCCGTTAGAAAATGTATTCAAATAAAAATTACAATATTTCCCTCTGAAATAGAGTTCAGTATTAATTCCACCTCTGATAACTGAATAAACTATAGAGCTGCTTCTGCACTGGATCCTGTATCTTTTCTCTTTATGTCTTCCTGATGGATTTCTCTTTTTAACCTCCTCTTATGTCCTTTAGCTCTCCATCCTTCCCTCCTTGCTCTCCACATCCACCCATCGTCCATCCATCCCTTCCTCTCTTCCCTCAGATGACACCAGATGATGAGACACTAATCCAAACAACTGGATTAGCAGAGGAGAAGCACAGGAAGCGGCAGCCTTTTCAACCACATTCCTCAACGTAGGAGGAAAAAAATGGCTCGTGTGCGCTCATGAATGAAAAGGATTGATGAAAGGATTTTTACATAAACCGACCCAGAAACATGAATGTGACAACTAATGCGGACGAACTATTGCCTAACAGGTAAACATGTCAGCTGTCTTTATTGATCAGAAACAAGCAGCTGAGGCAGATTTTTACTTTTGAATTTGGAAGAATCCACCAGGCCCGAATGAAAACAACCAATCAGAGCAGAGAAAGATGGTTGATTGATGAGTTTTGTTTACAGGACGCTGGAAAATATATCTTTCTCTGCTCTGACCTGTCAACATGAGCTGATCTTTCATATATTTCCTGCCCACAACCTTTCTAAAGTGTACTTCTATGAAAACAGTTTATGTTTTGGTTCTGCAGATAGTTGAACTGTGGTTTCACTGTGGTCTGTTTGCTTTCACTTCCTCCACCACGGCGGCCAGGGAAAACCCATATCCTGGAAATCAACTGGCCTGAACGAGACAGAGGCCAACCCAGTATCCATCAGAAGTCCTGACGAAGTGCCCACAAGCAAGACTCCGAACCTCCACCTGCTCTTTTAAAGATACGAGCCATAAATGCAAAACTGGGGGATAGAGTTTTGACTCACATTTGTAAAATTGTGCTTTTAAAGATCAGTTAGTTTTCTTTCTAAAATTTGCATAATGTTTTGTCATCAGACTCTGAATAAAGTGGCAAATATTTCCCCCAAAAATGTCCTTTAAAAAGGCGTGTAACATCTAGGAGGAATATAATATTCAAAAGCAGCTCACGTCAACACAACAAAAACACAACGAGTCTTATATTCAGGTGATTATACACTAATGAAAACATGAACATTATATTAAATTTCTGCCAATAGATCCTCCTAAATGTTACACACCGGACCTTTAATGTTGATATTGATATCCGACTAGACAACTGTTAATTCATAATAGTGGCTATCCAACCCACAAATGCTCCACCAGTCTATAATACCGGTATTTCACACTCCACATACACGGAATCGCTAGAAAAATTTAAAAGATTCTAGAAGTTTTTGTAATGACCATCACGGCACATCAAAATCTGTTAGCGTTACCATCTCTAACACAGACAGAGCTCCAATCCACCCAAAAAAAGACTACTATTTTTCTGTTGCTATGGTCGTAGCAATGACCCCTAAATATGAAATAATGCCTCCTTATGTCTATAATTTGAGTTGTTTGAATCATTTTCTAGAACACGAAGGAGTAAAACTACATTATTCTGCAAGAAAGAAGCAAAAGAGTGGAGAAATATCTGAAAGAAACAGCCCATCCCGACCCCCGGGGTTGGACCACTCACCTACTATAACCACCAGACACACCAACTAATCCACAATAAATATACTCTCTACATACAGTACATTCCACTAGCGTAACCCTTGAGCGCACTGTTGACCAAACGTCCACGAAAGGTTTTTCAGTACAAACTAAGACAAATTAGATGCAAATATACTGTTCTGACCTTTACCATACTACCATGCCACCACAAACACTGTAGTATGCAAACCATTCTCGGCATTAAGAGCCTGTGTGTCTCTTGTCTTTCTGAAACTGTATGAGGTAGAAATGTGTGTGAAAGTCCGTTTGAGGTGTGTCTATAGACGTCTAACAATAGCTCCTGGTGGAACCGGTGATGCAGGGAATTGAAGAAATAACAGTAAGGAATAAAAGTGAAGACACCGGGCCGGCGCTGAGCAGAAAACTGAGATTATACAGGTTGAAAGGAAGCAGTGGGAGGAAGGTTGTGTTAAAGTCTTTGCAGAAAGTAGCACAGATTCAGTAACACTGACCGTAACACGCTCATACACCCACGTCTTTGTCTGCGAGGGAATAATGTTATCTGCATTAAAAATCACACAGAAATAAAACCCTGACCCTGTTCTCCACATCTGAACTAGATCTGAAGATTTAAAGAGCTTGAACGTGTGAGCCTTTTCCCTTTTTCACTTCCAGTTCAGAAGCTTTTTGATGTCGCTCGAGGTGGAAATTAAAAGCTAACGCAGTGGTTCCCAACCTGGGGGTCGCTAAAGCTTCACAAGGGGGTCGCGAGACCTTCTCAATTTTAAGGGGTGTAAGAAAATGTAAAAAAATTTAAAAAAATATACACAGTAAGCTGATATCTCATCATTTCATTTACTTCTGTGAAGAAAACTGAATAAAATAAAGGCACGGTGAAGCCCTGAACTCAACCTATATTCACAGGGCCTTTACTCTCTGATTAATGTATGATTAAAATATAATAATACAGGCAAAAACTTACTAAAAATATCAGGAAAACTGATGTTTTATTATGTCTGATGCAATATTCTGAAATAATGTGCTCAAAATTCCTCTAAATCGCTAGATTTACACAAACTTCCTGCAGTTATAGTGTTCACTGTTTGGGTTCATTGTTCAGTTTATCAGCTGTTATTGTTATCTGCTGTTTGTTGTTTTTAAAATATAATACCATTTAGTCATATTACTCTATTATAGAAATAGGTTTCCCTTAAAGAGAAACGCTGGGAACCACTGGGCTAATGTTCATATCAGATGAGACTTTTTTTCCCCCTGATATCTGATACAGTGATTCTGGGAAGTATTTGACTGATACTGATACTATAATATTGGATAATTTCCTTGTAAATGAAGTCTCTGTTTGATAGCCTTCAGGTACACACGCAGCAAAGATGAAACACTTAAAGCCATATTGCGTTGTTTACATCCATGTTTACTGGGATGCCGTCTTGTTCTTCTCTCCCCTTTGCTGGTGCATTGCTTCGTTTCTTGGCAAAGACCAATATTAACTCTCCCTTTAGCTGCTTTGGCACCGACTCCTGATAAAAACATTTGTCTCTTTAGCTGCTAAATGCTCCACTTTTCCCGGTTGGTTTCAATCTGCAACTTCACCGCGAGATGCCACTAAATCCACTACCACACCGGTCCTTTAAATCCCTGTATCTATAGAGATATACTAGATCAGTGGAGCTCTCAAGATAAATCCTTTCCATTTAAGGATATTTCCTGAGTTCAATCTACGTGACTCGAATCACAAGAGCTTACGGTTGATTATTGACCTTGGAAATAGCAAAAATATTTTAAAATGATTAATGCAGGAAGTGGTTTGTTTGTGTGTGTGTGTGAGAGAGAGCATTATGTCCAGTGAGCACTCACATTAATTGGGTACAGTGTGGTACCATCACCCCCCCACTGCATCACTCGCCAGCCAGGTGGCAGGCTGTTGAGCCCTCACACACACA